TGGGACTAAATTCCCTCTAACGGGGGGATGATGTGACAACTGCCAATTTTGGATCCACCAGAAGTTAAACGAGCCAACAAAAAACAAGTAAAGTCAACAAGTCAACGGCTTAGAACCCAAACCATTGTGACTTTGGTTGGTACCTAGACCGAAATCACCATGTGATCTCGGTTGGTACATGGACCGAAATCACTAGGTGATCTCGGTGGTACTAGACCGAAATCCCTAGGATCTCGGTGGCTCCTTGGACCAAAGTCCCCATACAATCTCGGTGGCTTCTTAGACCGAAATCACATGTGATTTCGGTAAAAGTTTGAAGATTTCGGATGGAAAGGAGTTGACCTTGTGACTTGATAGATACATCAGTTCCCCATAAGAATTATTAACCAGCATATAACAATGCTATTATCCCCCAAATATCAAAGTAAACATCATTTCACCCTCCCTCCTTATCTTGGCCGAGAACACCCACAAACCCTCCCACCATTTCCATATTTCTTTCTGTTGACTCCATATTCTCTCAAGAATCAAGTCCAAACTTCTAAGGGTTAATTCTACAAGTTGATTGCTAAAATTTTGGTAAGTAGTTCTTGCTAATCTAGTGTTTTTACACACTTTCATGTTAGTTCTATCTTATTTACACACATTATAATGTGTTAAAACTCTTAGGATAATATCATCTTCAAAGATTTCATCAACCACTTTCAAGTGTTCTAGGCTTGGAGATCTTCACAATCATCTCTTTATCTAACCACAAAGACACTCAAGGTGAGTTCATACCCCCACATTTTCGAGTTTTTCATGTTTTAGGGGGGGGGGGATACAAGTAAAGTTTGGTTTATCACACAAATACTTGCATGTTTCATCTCTATGTTAAATATAAAACATTATTTGCATGAAATATTGATATCACTATTTTGTAGACAGTTATTTGTGATATAATGCAAAACTAACAAAAACAAAAGATAAACTATGCTATATAATCATAAGAAAAGTTATTACTACAAAACTACAAGGATTTTGAGACTTTTACCAACATATAGTTTTCTAACAAAAAAGGGTTACATTCTAGTTATTTCACCATTTTGTGGGAAACAACCCAAAAATATGATGTTTTAACCATACATTTTAAAACTAGACAAAAACATCGTTAAAAACGGGGCAAAAGCTCGAAATGGGCTTTTACATACAAATTTCTCATACCTGTGTTGGATGTAAGTTTTTATGACATAATCTTATATAGACACCTAGACAAGATAATTACTATGTATTTATATAAATGATTATATAAATAGTCTTAACAAACAAACATAATAAACTATAATTGGTATAGTTTGGGAGTCACAAACACTACACTATCATTACGGAAGAAACATATAATTATTTAAAAGTATAATTATTTTTACACTATGTAACCACTATGGAAGAGTAATGCATTCATTTACAAGAAAAAGGGTTTTCAGTGCACGTAGACCGGTTGATACAATTTTGTGAGACATTTTGGCTTCATCGTACCCACCAGTACACACTAACTCATGAATTATAACCAGAGTCTCTTGTAGGGAGAGCGTGACACTTGTGTATAGATCTATACGAGATTGACAACCCCGCATATGAGCTGTTAGCTACAGTTAGACCAGCAAGTCGAGGGTGAAAAATATCTAACAGTTCCGACGCCTGAAGAACGTCTTAGCAGGCCAACTAGTAATTAGCATGGTTATGATAACTCACATGGGGTATTAACAATACATTTGGTTTATGTGGTTAACATACATTCAAGTAGTTTTATATAAAGATAAAACTTCATAACACTATTTTCCCGTACAACATTACTTACATCTTAGTCTTGGGTTTAAGATTTACAGTTCATTTTTAAAGAAAATATTTGATTTTCTGAAAGCACACTCTATCATTTTTTACAAGGAAAAGCTACCGATTTCTCTCATACAAAATGCTTATGAACTCACCAACATAATTGTTAACACTTTTCAAAATCACTTGTATTCTCAGGACATCAGTAGACAGGTAACCGATACGGTTTTGTGGACGGGACGTCGCAGCGTTACGTCATTTATTTTTGGTCATATGTATATGGTATCAAGTAAACAATGTTTTGGATACAATCTAAACTTATTATTTATCAATATGATGGTTGCAATGCTTTGATCACTACTATTCATTTGTTATGATACTGTACATGAAAGTCATCCACCCCAGACGTTTCCGCCGTTTCTGGTGTGGGGGTGTGACACACCTAATAATATTAACTTGATGATTTCTTTACTTCTATTTGTAAATTTCATAAACGAAAATAACAATAAAATGAAGATGCATAGTGAGCTGGGGTAGTCCGTCGTCTACAGAAAGTGCACTTATCTGTTGATGTTCAAACCGTTTTAAGTGCAATTGCGTCACAAACCCTTCGATGGAAACGTAACCTAAAAAACAAAAAAACAGGTTAAATATCAAAAAAAAAAAAAAAGATATGTTCCTGGCATTTTCGATAATAAAAGTTAGAATCCTAAATGAATATACAAAGCCAAGCCTTTAGCTTGAATACCTAACAAAAAAATAACTCATAAATATTTGTAAAAAGCAGATCTGAGAAAAACAGCACAACAAAACAACAACGAAAAGACAAATGGTGGTGTTGTATGTGTGTGCTGGTGTCGACGGTGAATAGATTAAGGTGGAAAAAGATGGGTGTAACAGCGTCGATTGGCATTGTTGGTGATGGTGGCGGCTAGTTGTGGTAAGTGGTATCGTTTTTAGGGTTTTCAGAAAGGATGAGCGAGAGAGAGGGCATCTCTGTATCCGGAGATGGGAGGGTGGGTTATTTTTAAGTTAAATAGATAGGGTTTAAATGAAAATCCAAGTTTTATGATGTGTGATGCATTTTGTGTTTCTTTAAGCATAATGGTTTGTAACTATTGCTTAAAACATTATACATGTTTTTGATTGGTTTAAATCAATTTACATGAATCACTAATTATTAATCTAAACCCTTCAAGCTTGATCTAAAGGTCAATAATCTCTCTCTTTGTTTTTAAGATGTAATCTTAAAATTTTATGGGGTCCATAAACATATGTATGCATTATATATATATATATATATATATATATATATATATATATATATATATATATATATATATATATGATAGAGATCCGGTAAGAAATTTTTTTTGGTAGGAAGGTAAGAAGTTTTTTTTCTACATATTTTTTTGACGAACAAAATAAATGAATCACTAGATGATTCATTTGTAAGATGATTCACAAGAAAAAATTCCCAAAAAAACATCTTTATGATTCATTTTTAAGTAAATTAAGAAAAAAAAATCATTTTTATGACAATTTTAATGAATAACAACAAAATCAGTGTATAAATGAATCATCGAGATGTTTTTTTGAGAATTTTTTCTTGTGAATTATCTTACAAATGAATCATCTAAGGATTCATTTTGTTTGTTCGCGAAAAAAATATGTAGAAAAAAAACTTCTTACCTTCCTACCAAAAATTTCCTTCTTATTTGATCTTGACTCTATATATATATATATATATATATATATATATATATATATATATATATATATATATATATATATATATATATATATATATATATATATATATATATATATATATATATATATTGATAGTTATTTATAATTGGGAAAATGTCATTGTAACACAATCAATTACTCTCATTTATCTAATTTGGTCACTAAACTATTTTTTTTGTTGTGCGCAATAGGTCATTATAATTACAAGTTACCTGTCAATTAAATCACTTTCGTTAATTTTTAACGGATACTTGATTACCGAGCCAAGTGGAAGTGTGACGTTTTGAGGAAGTTTAATGACCTATTGGGTAAACTAAATAGTTTAATGACCAAATTAGGTAAATGAAAATAGTTGAATATTCTATAGTGACGTTTTTCTTTTTTTTCTGTTTTTTTTAATGTTTTATCTTTTTAATAACATTAATTAGAGCAGGTCACACCTACATATTCCTAACATTCTTCTTTTTCTAGTGAACGCGACCTTCAACATGAGTTCGGCCAACACCACTTTCTTACTTTCTTTCGTTCATTCTTCCCTTCTTACCGGTTGAACATAGACGGAGAACAAGCATATATGGCCAATATGAGGGAAGACGAAGTAGAAATAAATCAATGTCAGGAAACCCTTTACAGAGTCGAAGATGGGCGGTGACAGTCTCTAGCGACCGATACGGAGTAGAGAGAAACGATGAAAAGAGAGAAATGAGAGAGGCAGATTAGAAGAGAGAAATGAGAGAGGCAGATTAGATGGCGGTCTATAGGTTTTCAGTTGGTTCCAAGGACGATATAGTTGTTCCGGAGGTGGTGAGCTGTGATCTAAAGATTTAGGGTTCTATCTTCTTTAATTGATACGAGAGAGTGAAAGATAACGTGAGAGATGAGAGGGTGAGATGGTCGGGGGTCGGGAATGGACTTATATATCTATTAATTATTTAATTTATTTTTTATAATTATTAAATATTAATAATAATAACTAAAAAAAGAAAATGCATATTGTAATATAGTGTTTTCATCTCTACAAGGGGCGAAAACGCAATAAAATCATAACTAGAACGGTGCGGAAGGCCAAACATGCAATTTTCACCAAATCATAGATATTATTTCAATAACTTATTTATTTTTAAATTAAAAATGTTAATAAACAATGAAATTGTAGGTATTTCATAGAATATGGGAAAATTTTCTATATTTTCTTTCTATTTAGATATTTATCCTTGCTACTCATATAAAAAATTTTATAATTTGATTTCTCTTTTGTATTATGGATCACATACACTCCATAGCCTAAGAATTCATTCCATTAGCTTGTATATATTCTATTCGGTGTATTGCATACCAAACAAACATATCCCTCTTACCGTAGTCCAATAAAACACCTATCAATATAACCAAACGATGCTTCGGTCCTGACGTGGCGAAATGGGTCTGCATCATGAATGTGTATTATTAAATTCGCCATTAACAGTACGGTGGATGGTTGTTGTGGGGGACCCTTGAGTCGCGATAAGTATATCCCTATCCTCTTTCGTCTTCCACCCCCACTCCACAACACCCTGGCCAGCAATTTCTTAGTGTAAATTCATCGATCAATCAACATTTGAGGTTTCCTAATGTTAATCCCATGATTGCGATCGTTGCTTTTGCTACCTAAATTCAAACATTTAAATAATTGAGAAAAGAAAAACACCCAAATTCCCATTATCCTTTCCCTCTGTCTCATCCATCTTCAAGAAGCACCAAAGCTTTAGGGTTTCTCACTTTTTGACCCATCAATTGATAAATCTTCCAAATTTCCAGCTTTCGCCTATTGCAGAGTTGAATTGAATTCTGGGTTTTGGAGTTTTCTGAAATTTTTGTTGCTCAGGTTTGTTGATGAATTAATGTAGTTTTTGGTTTCTTCCATGCACAGTTTTGGTGATCAATTTTACTCGAATTTTGATTAAAGAATGTTAATCATCCGAAAATTAGTGTCACTGATTGTGGGTTTTGAAAATTTTACTTTGATCAATCAGCGATTCACCCTGTTCATTCCTGTTCTTGAATTTATCTAGCTTTCTGGTTTCTTGCATGCATCTTGATCTTCAAAAAGTATATTCAAACTTGACGTTTTGATTAAAAAAAAAAAACTTTGCTAATTAGTTTAATCAATCGCTAGTCTTTTTGGTTTCGTGCATGCATTCAATAATTTATTTAAAATTTTGAAATCAGGATCCAATGATTCTGGGTGATTTGGTGTTTGAATTTTAGTTAGTTTGGTCAATAACCTAATTCGGATTTGTTCTTGAATTTGTGTAATTGTTGGTTTCTTGCACGCATAAGATATTTTTCTATCTTTTTTTTCAAGATTAAGAACCTTTTCGTGATCATTTTTCATGAAAATTGGGTCAAAAAAATAAAATAAACTGTTTGACCTTCCAAATTTTAGTATGGGGTTGAAGGCTTTAAAATTTTGGTTTTGATCAATCACCCAATTGAGGTTTGTTCTTGAATTTCTTTAATTTTCAGTATTACAGACTCCTTTTTCTTTAAAATTATGAACTTTGTGGTGATCAATTTTCTTGAAAATTAAGAGATTAAATTCTCCAAACATCAATTTTCACTTATTCTGGCTGCATGTATCCATATCCCGATTTTCGTCAAGATTATTGACTTTTTGCATGTCGAATTTCTTGAAAATTAGGTGAAAGAAGTCAACTGTTTGATCTCTCATGATTTTGTGTGTGGCTGTTTTTTAACATGTATTTAATTTGATCAATCATCCATCGAACAAGCATTCTTGAATTTCCATGATTATTTATTCCCTGTTTGCATCCACATATTTCAGTTTTTGTTGACTTTATGGTCAAACTTCTTGAAAATTAGGTAAAAGAAGTCGCTTTTTAATCTTTGATGATTCTGAGTGTTTTAGTTTTTTAAAGTTTCAGTTAATTAAATCAATCACTAAGTCCAAGGTTGTTCTTGAATTTCCAAGTTTTTGTATAAAAATATTTTATTTATTATGAACTACGTAGGGATCAATTTCTTCAAAATTCGCATAGAAATCTCTTCACTCTACCAAAGCTTAATTTTTGTAATTTAGATCGATCTCACAAATCAAACGTGTTCTTGAATTTCTACAATAATTGGTTTCTTGATTGCGCCCATATTTCCTTTTTCTTAATTTTGAAATCATGAACTTTTCGGTGTTCCAATTTCTCTACAGTGTTCTAGAATAAAGTGATTGATTTGATCCTTTTAAAAATTAGAGTTCATGATTATGCTACTTTCTGTCAATTTTATGGGTCTAATTCTTCACGATTTTTTAAATTTCAGTGATTATACACCTAGGAATATAGGAAAAGGTCGAATTTTTTTAAGCTTTTCAAGGTACTTTTTTAAGATTAATTAATAAATACACAATAAAAGTTAAAACCAGATTCTCTATGAACTACTGAAACTTATGTCCTTTTTTTTCCTAAAACCATGAGCCAAACATGTTAAATTACCATATTCTCCCTTCTCCCATAACCAAAGTCCACATATGACTTCATAAATTCGAAATTTACATCCATATTTTATACTTCATAGCTGATAATATTTTCTTACGTAATACCCTTTTTGTATTACAATGCAAATTCGAAGCTATTTCTCTACAATTAAACATAATCTTTATCGATTTTTAAGTTACAATTCGATCAATTTGACTCTAAAAGTCAAAATAACCTCTACTTTTTAGAATCAATTACTTTGATATATTCCTAAATCCTAATTTATGCCTATATCTTAATCCCCAACTTGTTTGCAGAATTTTGGCGTTACTTAAAAAGGCTCTACATTAACATTAACATTTGTAACTCTACATTAAACCATTCATTGAAGATGAGGAGAGCTTTGATCAAATCTTCAAGACTGATTGACTCACAATTTCACTATCATGAAGCAAAAAGAGTGTTATCAAATGCAAACCCTAGATTATTTTATCTAAAATATGATACTCATACATATAATTGTGGACACTCATCACACATTTTTTCAAGAGCGATGTCTGCTGATGCTGCTAAAGTAAATTATGAAGGTTAGGAAATATAAAACCTACTTTGATTTCTTTCTATAATGTATTCAAATCAATCGAAGTACATTGCAATTTATTGCATTAATCACTTCATTATATGTGATGAAAATCGATTGATAAATGTGTTGTATGAATAACAGAGGTGAAGAGAAGTGGACCTCTTGTGGAATATGAACGCAGAATCAATGCTGGAGAACTTGAAGATGGTGATAATTGTCAGGTACATAGTTTCCTTTTTGGGAAAAGTTCCAAGTTGAAATGACGTATTTACCCTTTATAACTATTGCAAATAGCTTTTATTATGTCGATGTGGCCCAAATTGAAAATCGTGAGATTTCTTTCTTTTTGTCTTTGTTGAAGCGTGAAGGGTATTTTAGGTATTTGACATATATTGTTTTGCAGATTGGAACCTTAAGAGAAATTCAAAGACTCTATGAGGAACTGGGTAACTCTGCTCATGTGTGTCATTTGGATCTTAATTCTGATTCTGGGAAAAAGGCGAGGTATTTTGGTTTTTTCTTATTAAATCATTGTAAAAAAATAACTAATTATAGCATTATAATTTCAATCTTTTTTCTTATTGCCTCATTACACTTTAAAAAAAATCCACCTAATTATAGCCGTGAAAATTACTTTGTATTTATATAACGTTGCCAAAATTGGGTAGATTTTTCAAGGGTCATAAAAAGACCTTATATTTTATGTTTTTTCCGAATTAAACCTCAAATTTATTTTTTGCCTGAAAAAGACCTTGTATTTTTTTCATTTTTTTCCGAAAAAGCCCTTGACTTTGTCTTTTTTCCGGAAAAAACCCTCAACCTTCTAACTCCTTCCAAATAGACCCTCAACTTTTTTACCTTTTCTCGAAAAAAAACCCTAACATTTTACAATTTTATTGGAAAAAATGGCTAAAAGGGCCGAATCGGAACAAATGAGAAAATACAAGGTCTTTTTCAGGCAAAAAAAAATAAATTTGAGGTTTAATCCAGAAAAAAAAAACACAAAATATAAAATCTTTTTATGAGATTAGCTGATTTTTAAAAGTAGAAATGAAAGTAATTTGTTATAAATGATAATGAATGAATAAATAATTTTTTTCAAATTCAATTTCAGGAGTAGGTGGTTATGGTCACGTTTTATGCCTCAGTCTTCAGTGTCACCAGTGAAAGGACTTTATCTCTATGGAGGAGTTGGAACTGGAAAAACCATGTTGATGGATTTATTTTATCATCAATTGTAAGAACAAAAATCACAAATTGATAAATTCGTTATGTTGATTTTCAAATTTGAATATTAATATGTATTTGCATATCATTAGGCCTTGCAATTGGAGGAAAAAGAGGATTCATTTTCATGACTTTATGTTGAATGTTCACAGCCGTTTACAGGTCAAATAATTACTTTTTTGCCCTTTGGTGCCTCGAAATTGATGAAGATGCTTTACTTTTCAAGAAAAATACAACAAATAACAATCGCCTTGAACTTTGTAGACGAATATTACATATGGAAAAAAATTTAAGATTCATTTTGATGCAAAAACGATATTGATTTTGATTATTTAAAATAAATTATTTGACTTCAAAATTCAAATTATTTTTGAATACAGAGGCACAAAGGGGTGTCTGATCCCCTTGAAGTTGTTGCAGGCGAGATTTCTCATGAATCTGTTTTGTTATGTTTAGATGAATTCATGGTACGTTACAACTTTCTCCAAAATGTCTAAAATACCCTTAAAGTATTTTCATTTTTTAAGTCGACTTATTCATTTCTTTATTATTATTATCAGGTTACTGATGTAGCCGATGCTATGATATTAAACCGCTTATTTAAACATCTTTTCAGCAATGGTGCTGTAAGTGATTAATATTTTACAAATTTACATTTATCTCTTTTTATAACCATGTGATTATTTATTTATTTTTTTGTGTGAAAATAACTGAAGTTTAATTTATTGTGTGTTGATGATGCAAGTATAGATACTTGTTGCTACATCTAATCGTGCTCCAGATAACCTTTATGAACGTGGATTACAAAGAGATCTTTTTCTACCCTTCATTTCCACACTAAAGGTAAACTCAATAATTTACTTGTATCCTATGAACCTTACAAGGTTTGACTATGGTAACAGTGTTAATAAAATATCGAAAATACCCTTCAACAACGATAAACAAGAGGTTCTCGTGGAACCGAGTCGATATGACCGGTTTTTTAATTGAAATGTTTTGAAATTCTCAAGAGATGTAGAAGTTGTAATTTGTTTCGATTTTTTTGCTTTCTTTTGTGGTAATTTTCATGTGATGTCTCATGGATGCAGGATAGATGCATAGTACATGAAATCGGTTCATCTGTAGACTATAGGAGAAGAACCTCGGTAAAATGCCAACTCTTTTCACCTTAAATACTAGTTTTGTTACACATGATTGGACAGAACAAGTTGACAGTTGACGGTTCATAGTTTGATAGTTTGACTGTAAAAGTTTTACAGTTGACAGTTTGACAGTTGACAAGTTGACAAGTTGACGGTTGACAATTTGACAGTTTGACAGTTGATAGTGACAAGTTGACAGTTTGACGGTTGACAAGTTGACAGTGACCAATGGAAAAAAGTACAATTTTTGTTACACCTAAAAAGGTGGAACAACGTGGGAGAGGGACTTATTCTTTATCTCTCGTATGTGAAAAAAGACGTGAATGCCCTTCTTGTCAAGTCTCATTTGGTCATGTCATGTGTAACAAACACACACCAAATGCTTAGTACTTTCTATATCTTTTTTTTTTTTTGAAAATGAAGGCGGAAGAAGGTTTCTACTTCATACAAAATGGTACATCCGGTTTCCTTATGCAAAGGTTTAAAGAGTTGACAGGGGAACATACGGCTCATCCTCAAGAGGCTGAAGTTGTTATGGGAAGGACACTTCAGGTTGCATTTGCTGAAAATAAATGACTTTTTTGCCCTTGCCCACTTTCACTTTCTCATCTTAGAAAATAAAATCACTCGACTAGTTTAGCATGTACTAGATGATGTAATGCACATTGCTCATCAAGGGAAAATAAATCAAGAAATGTCATTTTTTCCGAAATGTCAAATTCATGGGTAGAAAGTGATCATAAAAATAAATAAATTTAGTGTTTTCACTATTTATGTAAATGTCTAAAATACCCTTTTATCATGTGTGGTGGATAGGTACCTTTGGGTGCTAATGGATGTGCATATTTTCCATTCGAGGAGCTCTGTGACAAACCTCTTGGTGCTGCTGACTATTTTGGATTGTGTAGTAAGAAAAATTCTATAGCATCTAGGTTTGCTTCATTTGTTTTGAATTCAAAAAAGGTATAGTTTGACTTTTGAGGTCAAACTAACTATTTTCGACATTGAAATCGACAAGGATTCTTAAAATTTGAAGATTAAAATAGGCAGCCACATCAAACTTTCTAACAAATACCACATAATGGAGAAACTTGGATTCTAAAGTTGATAGAAAATCTCTATGATTTTTGAAATTGAATGTCAAAACGGTTGACCTCAAAAGTCAAATGTTATGTATAATTTGAACTAATGAAATTTCAATTGTAGAGAATTTTCACACCTTGGCTTTGGATGGTGTCCCAATATTCGGGCTACACAATAGGACCGCAGCATATCGGTTTGTCACATTAGTTGATGTTAGTCTCTCTTTTCTTGTCTTTGGTATCAACTCATGTATACCTAATTGTAAAATGACTAAAATACCCTTCAATTGTTTTATAGGTAATGTACGAGAATAAAGCCCGGTTGATGTGTACAGCCGAGGGGACTCCATTTGAAGTTTTTGAAAGAATCGTGACGGTTGCAGATGCTCATAACATAGCACCAAGAACCTCGTCAAGGTCAAGGAAAAATGACGATTTTGACCTTTGTGTTGATAACGAATTGGGCTTTGCAAAAGATCGCACCATTAGTAGGTATGCCTTGTTATGTCATTTAACATATACTGTAATTTCCATGTCTCACATTGACATCTGTCTCAGTCTCAGTTAAATTTATCAAATTTTTTTATAGGTTGACAGAAATGAATAGCAAAGAGTATCTTGAGCAACATAGTGAAATGATTGGAGACAACAATGAGAATGTGGTGCATGCATAAACACAAATGATAGTGAACATTATTACAAAAATCATAATTGCAATTCAAGATGTTAACTTAGGAATAAAGGTAGCCATGTTTGATCAATATTCGATTGTGTATGATTAATAGGTGGGCCTTTAGTTTCATTTGTAACATTTACATGACCTAATTATGGATCCCATTTACTTGATATGCATAAATGAGAGTGGGATCTTATGTATTATAATACATCATTTGTAATTTGAAGTGTTTTGTTGACGAATATTGTAAGTATGTTTATCCTTAACAACTTGTGTAATTAAAGTCTTAAAAACCCAAACCCCAAATGTTGCTCTATTTAAAGCAAAAACAAGTGATTGATCATCAAAAGTGCAAGATAAAAGTAACAAGAAAACATGATGATTTCAATTTTCAACACCACAAAACATGTAGAAATATCATATCTTCTGGTATAAGTCCTCTTATAAACATGTGGAAAACATGCATATATCTTCTTCTTATTTTTCTATCTCTGAAAAGAGATAGAATATGATCCAGTATTTGGATCTTTCACAGCTTTAAAATTGTCTACACTCATCCCAAATTTTCCCAATATCGAGTCACCCATATCTTTCAACTTCCCTGAAAATTTAATCAAAGCGGATATTTCATATTTATATAATTTGTTTTTGTTAAAATAATAATATATTTAGGGAAAGTTTATAATAAATACCCAACATCTCTTCCTTCATCTTTTCACGTTTTTGTATTGCTAGTGGCTCTAAACGGATAATGGTTCTCTTACATTGGTAGTTCGAAGGATCCAACTCCAAGATTTTCTTCATATCTAACACAACAAACCAAGGGTAAATTTGTCATTTACTCATATTGGCTAGTACAAGGGCTTTTTCGTAATTTGTACTTACCAGCAATAGCCTCCTCATAATTTTCAAGCTTTTCATGAACCTCTCCTCTTCTAAGCAAAGATTTCATGTAAGTAGGATTTATTTCCAATGCTTTGCTGCATTCTTTAATTGTATCCTCATACTTTCCCTAACGTATAATGAAATATAGAATTTAATTTAACAGTGTATAAGAAAATTAATAGAGGATGAAAAAAGTAAAGAATTTACCAGTTTAAAGAAACATGTAGCACGATTATTATGACATATTGACCTAATTTCTGAAGAAGAAGACATCTCAGGTGCAAGTTGGATTGCATAATCATACTTTAATAATGCCTCTTCATATAATCGTTCTCCAAATAACTTGTTTCCTTCAACTTTTGCTTCATTCATTTGTGCCAAAAGTTTCTGCATCTCGAAGGTGATAAGAAGTAAGATGAAGTTATTCAATTTTTAAGGTGATCCAAATGACTGATATAGTAATATCATTGCTGAAATGATAATAAGCTAAAGATCCAAAGCACTGATAACATAGAGCCACAAATCATAATCAGTCAAGTAAATTTAACTGAGGCCAAATACGAATTCGCACATGTAATCTGGGAATGCTTCAAAGCATTGCATAATCATAACATTCTATGTGATAAAATTGAAACGATAAGCAGGTATATAAGAAATTTCTCTATGATAACCTAGTAATTATCGATTTAACTCAAACGAAAGCTTAAACCCCAAAATGAACACAAAACGAGACTTGAAAAGCAAGAAACAACTAACCTGCTTGAATTCATCATCATTGAGTGCATCTTCATAGGTCGGATCCTTCGACACCGTAGACATTTCTTCCGATTTCTGTTGTTGATGTTCATGTTCAACGGCGTACGATTTATCAGAATTGTCAGAAACCGTATCATCATCGCCAACTTCAGTCTCGCTTGCGGTTTCGTACCCGTCGGATGCGTATCCGGCGGCTGTTGCTTTATCTCCACTGCTCGAAACTACTCCATCAACATTTAATCTGTTGCTACTGTTCGAATCTACTCCGGTGGTGGTTGAATTTGAGGGTTTTGATTCGATATCGGTGGAAGGCAAAGGCTCAATCGCGACCATTTCCGATCGTCTTCCGCAAACACACAGACAGCAAAAACCTCAAAAGCGAAATCCGTTGGCGTCTGATCAGTGATCACAGTCACCGGCGCAAAGTAGTAAAAAGATCGAAAATTGCAATAAGATATTTTTCACGATTTTATCAATTTATATAAGAAAATATTCTTTTAAAATACTACACTTTAGATTTTTTTTTTTTTTTTTGAACAACTACAATTTAGATTTGTATCATTTTATATACATGATGTGACTTAAGATATGAAAATAGGTAAAAAGTTTGGTATATAAAATAGTCAAAAATGGAGTAAATTTGATTAAACAGTTAGAAAAAATATATTATTTATATCAATAAAATAATAAAAATGTTTTGTAAATATTTTTGCAATTAACTTGAGAAACATATTGTAATTAATGGAAACCAAAAGCTATTAATAAAGAATTATTTACCTTATTTCCCAATGAAGTGTAAAAAATATTTAGTGGGTATCCGATTGTTTAGCTTATTGTAATTTTATATCTTTAATAAGTTTATGTTTATATTAAATTAACTTTATATCTATTATGTTATGGTTTGATATAACTCATAAACATTATGAATTAGTTGTTTCGATTTTGACTTAAGGGGTGTTTGGATTTTTTTCTATTTAAAACAAATTATGTTTTGCTATAAATAGTTTATTGGCTTATGTGGTACCATAACACAATTTTAAAAAATGATTTAATTAACTTATACAAAATCAAAACACAATAAGTTGGCTATCTATAAGTCAACACCATTAAGTATAAGACTTATATTCTCACACTATGAGGAGCTATAAAACAAGATTCACATTGTTATAAGGAACTAGTAAGGTCATACCACCCTACCATTTGACTTGCCATATTTCCTTCTATAGTCATCTCGCCATGAGACATCATTTTGTTCCATTCCAACTATACAACATTACATATTATATTATTGTACGAAACACATTGGAATTTCCATATTATGTTACACCATGGTATGACTTTATAAATGATCCAACATAATCATACCATAAAACATATGAGGTGGCTAATATTGCCTTGACATCATACCAATCATGTTTGATGTCATGGTTTCTAACTTAATATCCACAACTTATCCTATTTTTTCCTAAGACCTATCTGAATCATCCCCACAATCTTACTACTACTTTCCATCAAAATTTCAATTTACCATATTTGAAAAGGAAACTACTCTTAATAAAATCTTGAAGAAGTCAAAAATATGTTAGAACAACACATTGATAAATGTAACTTTGTGTCTTTTATCACGAAGTTCATAAATAAAAGTTAGTGTTTGACGTTCACAAAAATCAGGCAGAATAAATCACTATTTAGTAACAACAGTATGGTTATCCCATATTAGATGTCTATACATACATGAGATTTTCACACCTTCGCGAGCATATGAAAATTTAGATCTCAATTGTCCTATAGAAGGCATGAGATGCATGAACAATAGAAGTGCGTCTAGATACATGTACCAACATGCAAATGGACATGTAACACCAGCAAAATTAGGGTCAAAAATTTAACTTTTATAAAACAATAATTGGGATATACCAAGTGGTATATATCGTAACGAGGTTTCCAAAAATATAAAGAACACTAAAATCCGAGTTATAACGAAGAAGTTATGATCATTCTAAGATTCCCGACAAAACCGGCAATACGGATAGACGTAAAAACGTGTGAAACATCGATCTTTTGCTATACTTTTCATACTGTTGTTTTAACTATCATATGAAGTTGTTTATCATGCAAAACACCTTACAACACAACTTTACCCTCTTGGGATACAATATGTTTTATAAATAGAAATATGTTTTATTTATACGTTTACATACTACATCATATCAAGGGTAACCATCTTTGTTAAACCATTTTATGCATTCAAAGAACTTATGATTTATGCTTTGTCAAACATTATGAAATAGGATAAGTATTTCATACAAAACTATCATTCTAATATAGACTTAGTTGAAAATCCGTGAGACATCTTCAATGCTACCTTTTTGCGAAAAGGTACAACTTAAAGTCCTGACGATTATAACCAGAGTCTCCCGTGGGAGAGCGTGTCAAATGTGTATAGATCTATACGGGAAGTCATGATCCCGCGCCCTGATTGTTAGCTACAGTCCTTTGGGTGACAGTTTGGTCTAAACGATATGACGCCTGAAGACCGTTGCCACAGGCATATTATGTTTAGTATGGTTATAAAACTCACCGGATAGACAATTATTATGGTATTATGCTTTTATGAACGAGTAGCTATTAAAACTATTCTTTATCTGACAAGTGCGATCTTCGTATAGCTTTATTATATAAAACTATGCCTCAACTTTTAAGCATGTCGGTTGCTTGCGATTTTCGGTCTTAGAGACTGCCTGTTACGTTAGGAAAATAAGGGTTTTTCCTGCATCTAAAACAAATAACTAATAGGAAAATATGGGATTTTCCTGGTGCAACTATTTACAATTCACAACGCGAACATTCATATGCATTTCATACTTTTATAAGAAAATAAGGGTTTTTCTTGGAAAACACAACGAATCATATCTCATCTATTAGGGAAAATATGGGATTTTCTGGATCTAATACATTCATTTTCAACACAACGAATCATAACTCTTTTCATTTGAAAATAAAGGATTTTCTGGAAAACATACACGAACTTTGGAATGGCATACATTTTCTCAAAACCGCTTATGAACTCACCAACTTAAATGTTGACACTTTCTCTTTGAAATAACTTGTATTCTCAGGAAATCGCTAAACCAGGTTAGCAACAACTTTTGAAGACTTACGCTCAGGCGTTAGTTTAATCTTTTGGATATCATATTGTAATTTCTTTTGCAAACATGTAACACATACAATCATGTAAACTTTTCAAATATATTTATATTATGGTGGTGTGTACTTTCTTTACTATTCATTTGTTATGATACTTGACATGACGTCCTCCGCCCCCGAACGTTTCCGTCGTTCTGGTTTGGGGATGTGACAGATTGGTATCAGAGCATTGTTTATAGCGAATTAAGTATATCAAAACCATTTTTGGTATACAACTATAAACATAACTGGGCAAAAACACTCTGAGTAAGAGTCATACTTTTAAAAAATTAAATTTTATTTAATTTTTGGTAAAGTAAGCATGCATTCATTTCATGTTAATAACAGTGTCATAAACAGATCAATATAGAAGTATTATAAATAAATTGTGCAGTGCAGGTATGCCTTGAGATATGTAATCGGAACTAGGATGAATATAGCCTGATCAACTATATTTATCCAAGAGCCGACTAACGTATGCCAGGGAGTGTCTGCAGTGGACAACAAATTTAAAACTTACCAAGAGCATATCATTAAGAATACTATGGGAGTATTTGAGTATCTTCAACCGTCAAACTTAAGGGTAAACCTTACATGCTTTAGCTTATAGTCAATTATTAACCCTATTCTCGTATAGACTCAATGGCTAGATTCCCTCACCCCGACGACCCCTACCACCCTAATCATTAAGTGAACAATTTATAGTAGAAATGGTCAACGGTAAAACAGAAGGCACTAAGGAAATATACTTAAACTGTACCCTAACTCTAAACGATAATCCCTTTTCCAATCAGCCTCATGCCAGTCTCGATTAAGAATTTCGATGTCATCATAGGCATGGACTGGCTAAGTTCTCATCGTGCGGACATTTTATGTTACGATAAGGCCGTTTGCCTTAATCTGCCAACCGGCGAAACACTCATTATCATGCAACCCTCGACCACCAAAACTAACGACCTTCCATTTTTAATTCTTGGCAGCGTGATGCCTCCTCGTCCAAACCTAAGACCCAGGCCGAACACGATACCAACACCACCTCCACCACCAACTTATGATCCGGCTATGGTCCAGGCTGCTATCACAGCAGCAGTAACCGCCACCCTCTCGCAAATAAACTCCAACGGAAATGGAAGGACAGGAAGCAGCACGAATCATTCCAACCATGGCACTGGTCATGGTCAAGTAAGGGAATGTACTTACAAGGAATTCTCCAACGCAAAGCCAAAAACCTTTAATGGCACCGGGGGAGTCATTGCACTGATGCAATGGTTCGAAAAGACCGAAACGGTCTTTGAGATCTGCTCTTGTCAAGAAGCGAGCAAAGTCAAGTTCGCCGCTTGCACCCTCACCGACTGAGCCCTCACCTGGTGGAAAAGCCATGTGAAGTCCGTGACTCTCACCGTCGCCAACGCCATGAGTTGGGAGGACTTGAAAGTTCTACTACTGGAGGAATACTGCCCAAGGGGCGAGATACAGAAGCTAGAGCAAGAGCTCTGGAATCTGAAGATGACTGGGTCTGACCTAGTAGCCTACACGGCCAGGTTCAACGACCTTGCTGCCTTGTGCCCTACCATGGTCAACCCAGAACCGAAAAAGGTTGAGAGGTACATTTGGGGGTTGTCACCCCAGATTCAAGGTCACGTCTTGGCCTCCAACCCTATCACTTTCAACAGCGCTAAGCGCCTGGCTCAGCGACTCATCGACCACGGAGTCAAACAGGGTATTGTTGTAGCTACTGCCGATCCATCAAAGGAGGTACAGGGCCAGGGGAGGCCTTGGAACAAGAGAAAGGGGCAAACTCTTCAGGGGGACCCCAAGAAACAACAAGTGATAGCGACTCACGCTGTCACTGTTCCTGCCACCACTGCACCCACAAGTTCATACAGTGGGAGATTTCCAAAGTGCAACCAGTGCAACTTCCACCACCACGGTCCTTGCAGTGACTTCCAATGCACCAGGTGCAATAAGAAGGGGCATACGACCCGCTTCTGCAAGGAGCCAGCCCAACAAGCCGCCCCCACTGCTAACGTCGGAGTAAACCGCTCTTGCTTTGAGTGCGGAGTCACGGGACACTACCGCAGGGACTGCCCGAAGGCAAACAATAGGAATACCGGCGGAAGGGGCCGAGTGTTTGCAATGGGACAGGATGAAGCCGTTGCAGACCCCACTGTTGATACGGGTATGTTTCCCCTCGATAACTCTTATGCATGCATTTTGGTTATTAGTGGAGCGGAGATGAGTTTCGTAAGCCATAGATTTAAAAAT